GCGGGAGGGAGGTTTCAAGTCTGAACGCTTTACACCCAGGATGACTCCCATAATCGCACTTCCAACAGGATTATGTGCTCCCTACATCTTCAGCCCCTGCAAGTCTAAAATAGAGAAAATAAGATTTATTGAGAAATATTCTTATAGAGGGAAAATGGCACGAGGTTTTTTTTCTTTTTAAGGTAAGAGAAGAACTCAAACTGTACAACTTGACAGACCTTGATTATATGGATTCCTAGGATGACTCCCATAATCGCACTTCCAACAGGATTATGTGCTCCCTACATCTTCAGCCCCTGCAAGTCTAAAATAGAGAAAATAAGATTTATTGAGAAATATTCTTATAGAGGGAAAATGGCACGAGGTTTTTTTTCTTTTTAAGGTAAGAGAAGAACTCAAACTGTACAACTTGACAGACCTTGATTATATGGATTCCTCCCCCGCCTTTTCCCTTATTTTGATTACAATAAAAAAGGGTAAATTAGCCTGTGTGCCTAAGCAAACAAGGACATCCTTCTCTGCCGATTGGAAAACAGTCTTTGAATCTAGCAGATCACGCGGCCTCAGACAGGGGATCCCAAGGTCCTAGCTATTGCTGCAGAAGCCACTGTGGTCCAAAAACCAAGTGGTTAAGTTCAGAACGCAACAGCAATACCTTTAAAAAAATCTCTTTCGAGTGTCTAAAGCCTTATCATAAGGCTGGAAGAAGGTCCAGTCCTGCCTACAAGGCAAAACATAAACCTAGGAAAGCAACAGGAAGAGGTAACCGGGTACCTGCACGCAGCTGTTAATGGGTACAAAGGGGCGAGGGAGGTTCTGTCATTTTTCACAAACTCGTTTCCTGCAGGTCCGGCACACCACAGTCGCGTTGTACCGCCACGTTACTGTTCCAGTGGAGGAGGACATCTTCCCTGGGCAGTGGCCAACGAGTCGGAGAGGTCGAGGGCGAGCATGAGGAATTTCCTTGGACAGGAGCAGAGGTTGCCCACGCAGGCTCGTGGGCAGCAGCCCGTTCCTCGCCACGGTGCTGTGTCACTTCCCCCAGACTCTTGTTTTTCCAGGCGAACAGAGAGCGGGGAGGGGAGCGACTCGGGCAGTTGCCTGCAGACCGGTGCACGGTCAGTATTTGTTCCTTTGGGACACCAAAGGCTGATGGCCCCCCTGGAAAGACTTCCTACCTGCAAGAGTCGTCCCTTTGCTGCCCGCTGCAGGCACCAGGGCACAGCTTTCTCACCGAGAAGGGACTGCCAGCAGGCCCCAGTCAGGCTTTGCTTTAAGCTAGCCTGTCTCTGATGAGCTCCCAAACTTAGTTTTCGTTAGAACAATCCAAACTTTGACAAATAGCCTTTCTCTCTGTGCAGCCACAGCCAAGAAATAAAGTTAGCGCCACCACCGACACCAGGGCAATCACCAGAGAGGAGCACCACAGCAGAGCCACCCGAGAAGCACCTACTCCTCTGCGTCCATCTCCTTGGTCTCGGCTTCACCCAGGCAGCGCTGGTCCCCAGACGGGACGACGGGGCACCTGTGTAGAGCCAGGTTCACTGAGGCAGCTCCCTTCTCCCTGGCCATGCTGGCTGC